AGATTAGTGTCCGATGATACCGGGCGATAATTAATTGGTGTTTCTCCGCGAACAGCGTCGCGCGCGACGGTGAGTGCGTCCCGCGACGTTCCCCCATTTCTTAGCATCGGAATTAATAAGCTTCATTATCCGCCGCGCTGCCGGTAATTAATTTTCGCCTGTAATTGATATTGGAACGATCGCGCTACCGCGTGTGCCCGTTTACGATGTGTAACTCGAGCTTTTACCATACGGATAATTTTATCCCACCTTCGCGATATCGAGGGAAAGCCTTTTCAATGTAATTCAACTCTTTCCGTTTATTTTTTGTTTATTTTTCTCTTTTTTTTTTCTTATCTAGTTTAATAAGTAAGCAAGTATAGCATATTTGATTGTACTGTACGTTATATGTATGCGTGTGTTGTGTATATGTATTCGTAAATAATATAAATAAGAATGAATCTTAAATTATATATTTCTCTCGCATGAAATATCCATTGATTTGATTGAATTCATTGGCTAATATAAGTTTGGGGCAAATATATCTCATGGAGTTTTCAATTTAATTATTGTTACTGCCACATGAATCTAATTATTGTAAATTATTATCATGCGTCGATAATATTATTCATTAATGAGCCAGTAATACTGATAATTGATTTTATTCGCCAATTACTGCATAAAAGTATTCCTTCCTGTATACATTGCTACTCGTTGTGTAACGCGACATATTATTTATCATGTAATAACAAAGCTGGTTAGTTTCTAATAACATCAACATCGAGTTAATTAATTACATGATGATACGACTCTAATAAATTTCAGAGACTCATTTTTGTTCGCCTTTTGCTAATGTGTCTTTATCGATTATGTATTAAAATATTTATTTCAACATGTATTCATATATTTAATTCTTTGTTGTGTAACAACTCTAGATCTCTTTCAATAAATATTTTAAGGAATTATATTTATTTTTTTTTTATTTCTATTATTTTTATTTCTATTATTATAAAGTAATTTAAATATAAATAAATAATTTTGGAAATTATTTTGGCAATATTAACGATGTTTAACGTCGATGCATTTCTGGTAGTAATTTAATTCGCGACGGATTAAATCCACCAAGAAGTATCAATGGTAGTTGATGTCTCAGCTCTTCGAGATTGGTGTATCGCTCAATTCTCTTATCGCTTCTTTCGCCCCTTTACGTTCAAGAAATTGACAATTCCATGTACCTTGCCTCTCGCGTCCGCTGTTTCTCATCTTTCTGCCTTTTTCTCGTGTTTCACGTCCTTCGGTCCGGCAGCGGCCCCGAGGTCCAAGGGAAGCCCGAGAGACGAGGCCTCTCTCTCCTTCTCTCTCTCTCGTACCTCTCTCCTTCTCACTTCCCGCGACTCCCTCGCTCATCCTCTCTTTTTCTCGCAGGCCAAAGACTTATGGATATCCATAGCAACGAAGTCAAAGCCATTAATAACTCCGGTGGGAACGCCTATCCTCATCTCGTGCCTTTTCTTTTAAAGTCGAACGTGTGCAACAAACGCTCGTCTCGCTCGCTCGAGAGGGAGAAAGGGAGAAAGATGGAGAGAGGAGAGTCTGAGAGAAAGAAAAAGAAAGGGTGAGAGAAAGAGAGAAGAAGGACGAGTACTAGATGTACGGGAAAAGAAAGGAGGAGGAGGAGGAGGAGGAAGAGGAGGAGGAGGAGGAAGACGGGGCCGAGGAAGCGGGAGAGAATGAAAGATCGAGAAAAGGAGAGAAAGAGAGACGGAGAGAAGAGAGAGAGAGAGAGAGAGAGAGAGAGAGAGAGAAGAGAGAGAGAGAGAGAGAGAGAGAGAGAGAGAAAGGATGAGAGAAAAAGACGAGACGAAAGAAGAAAGAGAGAGAAGCCGCGGAACAGGTAGATACGCACCGCGGAATATATTGGAATACCTGAGAAATTTAGTGGCGGGGCACTAAATTTCACCGCCGTGACTTTGCAGGAGGCGATGCTCGCCGCAGGGCGGGAGCCACCGGGCGAAAAATCGTCCCTCTCCCTCCCGCTCGCCTTCCGCCCTTGCGGCTACGTGCCCCGCCGGAGATATCGCCCCTTTAGCACCTGCGGCGACGCTGCGCTCGATGAGCAAGAGCCGCATATTGTGCCCCCGTGAAAGCGTAGGAAATATTAATTATCTCGATGCGAAGTAATCGCTTGGTATCGCTCTGCGTCTAAGCTCGATCCTCAATACATCTAATTCGTTCTGCGGTATTGTCTGTATGAAAGATATATTTCAGAGAGACACTTTAACCGTGTCCCGTTATTTATAAAAGAAATAATATAACTTAAAATAATATTAATTAAATACAAATGAGGATCTAAATTTTTCAGCGTGGTGAGAACAATTACGATTACGCGGGGGATGCCACTGTCGAAACACTGTCGAAACTTCAATCAATCACACCCCTGTGTGAGAACTAAACGGTACTAGCGATTTCGTTATTCGTAGTTGATTTGAAGTCAGCAGAGGTTCGACATTCGACCCCCCGATATCGCAATCACGGCGCGTCTCGCCGTACACGATAACGCGCACGTCGCCGGCATCTGCGGTGTGCCGTTAATCGGGAAAGTAATCATAATCAGGGGGGCGCGTAGCGCGTTGCATCGGCGGCGTTGCGCTCATCAGCGAAGCGCAGCGAACGAGTAGCATGCACATTCCATCGCGCGCCCGTAATTTAGCTCTGGCGAAAATATCATTTCTCCACCCTGCGCGTCCCTTCACCACTTCCTTCGTGCCTCGTCCCTCTTCTGCCTCGTTCTTGCCTCCCCCCCCCCCTGTTTCTCAGTTTCGAAGCAGCGAAAGAAGGAACGGCACGAGCGTGGAGGAAAATGAGAAATACGTCGTGCAGCTCCTTCGTTCGTCCGTTGGCTGACTCGTTCCAGCGAGTGTTTCCACCCTCCCGCCCCGCTGCCGCCGCGTGCGCGAGAAAAAAAACGACAGAAGGAAGAAAAAAAAAGCGAGAGAAGTAATCAACGGCAAGGCTGAACAACAGTCGCGTTGCGATTTGGAAACGACGTCGGCACGGAGGCGAATTTTCATGAAAGCGCGCTTTCGCTCCGCGCGAAATGAGAGCGCGGCATAGAAAGGGTAGGAGGCGAGGCGAAGAGGGTAGCGGACGAGGCCGGCCAGCAGCGGAGGTGGATGGGGCGAATGAAGAGCGGGCGATAGGGGTGAGTAGTAACGCGGGCGCGCTTGCACTCGATTACGCATTCGATAGACGTTGATTATCGACAAAACACGTCGATTCGACAACACCTGACGATGACGAGCGCACGCGTGCACACACGCGCGGCTGCGTGTTGGTGCACGACGGGGGTTCGCGGCGGACATGAAGTCACGCGGTATCGCGGGGGGAGGGGGGGATCCGATATATAGTACTATTCATAAGTTACGCAACGAACTCGATCGCGACGGGAGAGGGCAAACGCGAAGGATGAAAATGAGATGAAGAGATGAAATTTCTATCAAACTGTGATTGGGATTTAACAAAAAAAAGCGATATTTTTTTTTAAGATGTGTAACGGTCAATCATCAAGAAGAAACGAAAGGTCTTTGTCACATTTTTCTTAAGACAATTTTTTAGTGAAAAGTGTGTGAAATATTTTTACCTTTAAAATTTGCTGCCAATCGCGCTTGTAGAATTGATATTCAATTACGAGACGTAGGTCGTGACTTACGTCACGGAAAATACAAAAAAAGACGCACCTGATGTACGGAACTTTTTGATGCGGTAGAAACTGAACGGAGCGTCACGAAATAAAAGCTGGACGAAGGTAGATAAAAGTCAAAGTATTTCAGTATCATTATCGAAAAGGGCGGCGTCGGAAAGCCGGTTGAGAATTTATGAAGGCTCCGTGTGTACGGGCGCGTGTACCTGTCCGCGCGTAAAACGACGTATTCAGGACGTCGCCGTGTGTTGTAATCCGTAAGAGAAGGCTCGGTAGGTCCGTTCCGACGAGATTATCGTTCGACAGGAACTGTAACTTTCAATGAATCGTAAACATAGTAGACTATACACCAAACATCGTACACGTTCCGAAGTGGCGGCCAACGCGATCGAGACGACAAAGGCGGCAGAATTGTTCTGGGTTACCGATAGTAATAATCTCTTATCTTTTCCCGTTATTTCGGTCACATCGTTACCTTGAACAGCGACATCTTCGCCGAGTTATATTAGGTTTAAAGCAGATAAAGCTGAGAAAAATGTATATTTGTTCAACATTTTATCTCATTTTCTAAAACTTATATTCTCTTCATATTTTTAAAGTTCTTGTTTTTTCTAACACTTTGTAACAGTGGTAATGTTATTCCATCGTTTTCGGCTTTCTATCTTTTCGATCAAATTTGATGAAACTTATAAAACTTAATAAAATTATTATTATTATTATTATTATTATATGTGTAATTTATTTCCAGATTTTCAAGGCAACTTATTAAAAATTTCAAATTTAAAATAAACATAATTTTTACTAAAAAGTTCAAAAAAGTTCTCTGAAAATTCTCTGATTTTCCAAGATCTTTTAGGTTTCTTTAGGTAGTCTCTATATTATCTTCCAAAATT